CTTGATTGCTAAATTGAAATACTTGGACATACAGGCAGACAGACAGACACACGCACACACACACACCATAGGTCGTCACAATATGCGTTTTTGCATTTTCATATTCACAAAAACGCATGAAAATGAAACATCGCACGTGGGGTGGGAAGAGATCCTAGAATTTTCAGCTTCTTGCCCTGTGTTGAGTTGAAAATGGATGACAGAAATGCGAACATATACACACAATCTTTCGCATTTTCGCATTTACATAAAAACGCAAAACGCTTTAAATATTATTCTTCTTCAGGTACTTCCCCTTTGACCTTTGCTATATAATAATTTTTCCCATACATTATCTATTTATTTGATTATCTTCATCTGTTACTCTTTGCAGTTTTTTGATCTTCCCTTCCCAACTCATTGTTGCTTCTATTCGTTTAAGCATTATTGCTAATTATTACTTCTTCTGGCAAAGTATACTTGTTTTTGTTCTATATTTGGGAACAAATTCACATGCTTCCGGACATACCTATGTCTTTGTGAGTTTCTGCGCTACGGCGCATGCGCAGACCAAAAAACAGCACGTCTTGATGAGCTCAGTGATGTCTGTGATTGCTATTTGGTACCGCTTGAAATACTTCCTGAAGCGAGTGTAGTATGTTGATTTGATAGTAGAATTACTTACACAAGAGGTGACGAAACAGCGATAAGTCTATCGATAGCTATGAAAAGCAATAACATAAAGGAGATGTTGTACGACAAGATGTGTAAAATTATCGAAGGAAAGCATTTTTTACGCAGCATCGGCGGTGTGCCAATAAGTACCTCTACTGTAGTTTTTATTGCATTCATTTCGCATATCTGAAATTTCACTTCACCTGTTCAAGTACCATGAAATTTTGAACAGTTATAAAAATCATAAAATGAGTAATTATGACAATACAGCTGCGCCATACAATGCGATATTTCATCTTTATCAAAATCGCATAATTTTTATCCGATGAATAGAACAGAAGACGATTATCTGCTACATGTTTTATCGCACTGTGGATTCGCAACAGCTTGCGGGCAAAAAAAGGCAGCATAGACAGCATGGCTTCAAAGACGCAGCATGAATGTTTATCCCTTTACACTTACCATATGCGCTCACTAGCAAAAATCATCTTGAATTTTGCATCAAAGAAAATTAATAATTTCTGCGCAACGGTCTTTCTTTGAAAATGACATGGCTCTTCTGTGAGCACTTTTCTCACCAAAACCATTAAATGCACGCATATAGGAGCCACATATCCCTGGAGGCTGGACTTGATTTTGTATTTGGACAGAGAACATCCCCTTAAAATTTCAGCTTTCCAGCTTTTCTGGTTTAGAAGTCAAAAATTTTCCGCCAAGACTTCCACATGCCTGTGCTTAAGTACCACACGCAGTTGAATGCTGAATTGAAATTTGTACGCTGTGCTTGGGCTAGTAATATTCTCTTAAAAATCATAGTTTTTCTGGCACCCGATTATTTTTCACCGAAGCTTTCGCGAGTTCGTATGCGAAATCTAGATGTGCATGAAGGTTGGCGCCTTGTCCTGGGACGGCACTTGGTC